TATCACAACACCAGTTACAGATTTTCCAAGGCGTGTGAAGTCGAGCACATACATGAAAATGTGTGAAGCTGGACACATATGCAAACACACAAGCATCTATCACAACACCAGTTACAGATTTTCCAAGGCGTGTGAAGTCGAGCACATACATGAAAATGTGTGAAGCTGGACACATATGCAAACACACAAGCATCTATCACAACCAATTACATATTTTCCAAGGCGTGTGAAGTCGAGCACATACATGAAAATGTGTGAAGCTGGACACATATGCAAACACACAAGCATCTACCACAACACCAGTTAAATATTTTCCAAGGCATGTGAAGTTGAGCACATACATGAAAATGTGTGAAGCTGGACACATCTGCAAACACACAAGCATCTATCACAACCAATTACATATTTTCCAAGGCGTGTGAAGTCGAGCACATACATGAAAATGTGTGAAGCTGGACACATATGCAAACACACAAGCATCTATCACAACCAATTACATATTTTCCAGGGCATGTGAAGTCGAGCACATACATGAAAATGTGTGAAGCTGGACACATATGTAAACACACAAGCATCTACCACAACCAGTTACATATTTTCCAAGGCGTGTGAAGATGGACACATATGCAAACATAATCTCCTACCACAGACACAATACACGTAACATTTAGTCCAAAGTATAAAGTCAAGCTCAAACAGGCTCACTGCGTGAAGCTGGACACATGCATTTACTTACCGGGTATGCATCTTGCAAAACTACATCCGAACCTATATTCTAATAGGTGTTTAAGCAATTTTGTTTCTTTATTTTGTGAATATGTAAATTGCACCATTATGCTTCCAAGATGTCAACATTATTAACCTGTACATAAATACTCATTAGATAGCCTTTAAGAGTTTAAGTTGGAAATACTAGTACTTTGCCTGATTTATGTTGTGTAGTTTCTCGTCAGTGATCTTGAGTAATAACTGAGTATGGCATTTTTAGTTCCATTTAAACTGCAAAGTTTTAACACATGTACATGCACCATAAAGGATAAATAATATTGTATAAACCTTTTTTAATTTTATTCTTTGTCATTTTATTGCCTGTTTAAGTAAAAGATGTAATCTTGTAATGTTTGTAACTGTTTTTGGTAGATATTTATGAAGCAGAAATTATAACAGAAAAGGTTTCAATATATCTACACAAAAAGCAAATAAAAAAGAGTTCTCCGTGCCATCTATCAGATATCAGCAAATCAGATAAGTTAAAGGTTAAGTCATAGGGAATTTTAAAGTTTATTATATCTATATTCTGATATCTGATACCATTTTTACATTTTTGATTGTCCATCATCCTCGCAAGCCAGGGGTCCTGAGTCAACACGTTGCCGTTGGACCCCTGGTATATTTCATTCAATATCTGTGGGCTGACTGTGGCGAGGTCTTTCGGAAAAATAACAAATCTTGATTGTTTTTCTTATCTCTCAACCAATCACACTAAGCCATTCTATGATAAACAACTTGTAACACGTGCATTTGAGGTGTCAACTGAATCCTTATCTAACTATTTATGAAAGCTTAAATTTGATTGGTGCTTCTCAATGAGAGAAGCAGGCCCACGAATATTGAATGAAATATGCCAGGGGTCCAACGGCAACGTGTTGACTCAGGACCCCTGACTTGTGAGGATGATTGTCCATCTACAGTATATAAAAATAGTATAAATTTTTATATTTTGTAGATGACAATCTCTAATACTAAATACAACTGGAAATTGATATAAGGCTTGAAAATTTGTGAATATTTAGTAAGATCGAGTTTAACAAAAACGGGGTGGGGGTAAAGCAATAGACACATCAGATACCTATTTATTTTAAAAGTCAAAAACCATTTGTTGAAATCTTAAGTACGAGTGTATTAAACAAAGGCCAGTACTTAAATAAGGATTTAAAAAAGTTTCATATACGCAGCTAGGTTAAGGACTCCCAAATATACGTCACCCTATGCAGTGGTTCGAGAAAGCTATTATGACGTCACGTCAAAACAATACAAATGAATCTGGATGAATAAAAACTATATGTTCTTTTTAAAACATACTAAATACTTTCGTTCCTCATAAATATTATAAAGATAAATGGATATGTAACTTATTTTGCCATAATAGCTCTTAGCGTATGTAGAATGAAAGTCAGCTTGATCTCGCTGTACTTACTGAGATGACGTCATTTCTTAGTTTGACACGCAGTTTCTCTGTACTTGAGGCGTGGATCAAGCTTTTATCGTAGCTTGTAAAAATAAAAATAAATACAAAGCACACATAGTCGGACCAAATGAGAGACATATTCTGAAATATATTAATCCACATTTTATTGCCAAATTAAATTGATAATGTGTAGACTTTATATAAAGCCGTAGGGAGCATATTTGTACAGTAACGTGCTATAATGACAGGTCCAGCCCCTCGAAAATACCAAAAGTTCAACGATATCCGCTTCACGATATATTCTGAATTTTCAAACACGTGTAGCTACTATTCATACTATTCTAAAAAGTGCTGGGAGCTGGTTGTGCATTTTTTATTTATTCTGTAATGTAACATTATTTCAATGCGTATTACATTTTGGTCTGGAGTTTATAGAAAGACGGCTAAATTTTAAACAATTCCCGAGCATGAGGAAGTTGCTCCCAGCACTTTTCGTGTTAAGGAATTTGTTTCAAAGAAAACAGAATAAATTTTATAGCGGAAAGATGCCCGTATATCATTGAACTTTTACGATCTTTGTAGTAGTACATATATCTTCTAATTTTAAACCTGTCACGTGACAAACAGCTGATGTAAGTGATGTCGCTTTGGCCGAACTCAGCAGAGACCCGATATATACAAGTGCGAACAGCATAATTCACATTTATCAAAACTAATGCTGTTAAAAAAAAATATTAAAATTGTATTCATTTTCCCTAAATATATCAAGGCGAATATTTCATGGGCGTCCTTAACCTAGCTGCGTATATATATATATATATATATATATATATATATATATATATATATGACATATGGCTTTAGGAGACCAAGGAGGATATATTTTCTGGCTTAGGGAGACCACTGGATTAAGGCGACCTTTTTCGGTCTCCCTATTATTTTGACCTCATCAGTATTGCAAATGTCTTTTTATAGATAAATAAACAGTCTGCCATTAAATATTATTAATCTTTAACTCTGTTATTTAACATTCAAAAGTTGTCTAATTCCTATCATCTTCCCTAAAAAAGAAAAGAATGTATAACCTACGTATAATTTCAAAGGATAATTTTTCTGCATTTTGGAGACCATGAAAAACATGCAATTAAACAAAAAATCTAGCATATATATTTTTTCCGCTTTTGATATGTTCAAATGAGTGTTTCTTTAACTTAGTTTTCCACTTTTTATGTTAAAAACCTAAAAAGGAAAAATATTGTAAATTTATGGACCATGTTTTGAATTCTTAGCAAGTGCTTTCCGTCATTTGTTCCGAATGCCATCGGAATGCCTCTTCAGTTTTCAGAAAATGACCTCTGAACACCATGAATGTTGAGAAATTTGGGTAAGTAACTAAAATGATACAGTAATAAGTTGTAATTAAGAATACGCAAGACAAACATTCGTGTTTTTTTTGGTTTTTGTTTTTGTTTTTTTTTTTTGCCTAGTAATTTAGCTTTTAAGAGAAAAAGTATGATTTTAAATAATCATTAGACTGTAGTTCGGTATATAAAATCCTGAAGGAAATTCGAAATAAAGTTAAATGATAGGCCCCTATATTTTTAATTCTTTTATGCAAGTCCACAAACAAATTGCAGAAAATATTTAAAGATTAGGCCGAACGTAGAAAAAAATAGTCTCGCAAGTTGACGCAGCTATGTCGAGCTTAAAAATTTAAATTAAACTTTCTGTAAACATCATGCAGGACATGATCATCATGATATAGTATAAATGAAACAGACCCTGTAAGAAAAAAATAGCTGTAATTTAATAATTATTTATTAATATAATGTGGTCCTCTGCTGTTAAAATACATATGCAGTAAAAAAAGGGTGAAGCAGATTTGATACAATACATGGCTGAAGGAACGTACGAAATGAAATTTAGGTATACTATAGAAAACATTGCTCCTTTATGTTTGGACCCCCTCAATAATAACCTCTGATGATCTATTTTTTACTTTTGCTTTTGGCCCCCCTAAATAATAACCTCTGGTAATGTATTTTTCTTTTGCTTATTAAGAAATTTTTAGTTTGTAGCCTCCCCCAACCTGAAACTGAAAAATGTTGTTTGGTTGTGCTCACCCCCCCCCCTCTCCAACTAAATTACGTACGGGCCTATTCTCCATCCCTGAGGTTTTCTTTCACCAAAGAAAGATTAATTGGTAACAGTTCAGATATATAGCAATATTTACGGAAGGGAATATTCTCGTTTAATTATGAAGATGTGACAGTAACTAAATGTTACACAGTGAGTGTAACATTTATTTAATATTATTGTAACAGTTAATGTTTACAAATAGTGAAATACTGATACTATGAAATTTTAATGGATATATAGAAAATATACAAGTACAACCATTATTGTAAACCACATACACGAAAAGCTTTTTTTTTCCAAGCAATTGGAAATTCTTTACAAATCATTATCGCAGCCTAGTTCCCTTCATTATTTTCAGCAGTTCAGTGACGGAGATAAAATGATCATTTGGGGTTTATACCCCCCCCCCCCACCAAATGAAACTAAAAAATGTTTGGTTTTGGTCCCCTTCAACTGAAATTGATTCCTACTTACCATGCTTACAGGCTTAACTATGAAGATGTGACAGGGAGTGTAAAAACAATAATTGTTCAGACGGATACATAAGCTGATATAAATATCAAATTTTAATGGATAGATAGAAATTAATATACAATTACAACCATTTATTATAAACTACATAAAGATAATTTTTCAAGCAATTTGAAATTCTTCATTTTTTAAGATAATATTGTATTTCGTATATATATGTTTATAGGTTTATTCGTATCAACAAATCTGTGTACGAGTTAATAACGCACCCTGGGTTCCCTGCATTTTCAGTGACAGAGAACCAGATATAAGAATGCAGGGAAACAAGCCTTGTTACAAGGTTTGAGGTTTGTTTATTTTATATTTTAATTTACACTTTTTTAAAATTATTATGCAAAACTCTGTGTGCAGATGAATATTTACATTTTAGTGTTATAAGTCGTTTTGTGGTTCATTTATTTGCGGTGACTGTCCCACGTGTGTTTACCTGTTTACATTCACCTACTGACCTAGAGTCTTCAAAATATACCTTCTGTAATCATGACTGTTGTAATCTTGTTTTTATGTTAGTTTACCATATGTAACTTGACTGTTGTATAGATTTATAGCGATCACTGCAAGCTTTTAATATTTATGTGAAGAGAAATTTCAGACTATCAATCACAGGCACTTGTTTCATATACGGTGCACCCCTACTTATTTTTACCACAAGGTATCTAACTCAATTTTAGGCACCCTGCTTCAAGCTCGTATTTTGTTCATATATCAATCATTAACCTACTTTAAAATGACATTGTTCACTTCATGAGACTTTTTTCTTGTCAAATAAATCGTTTCAGACGTCTCTGGTCGAGACTCTTTATTGTAGAGCACTCATTTATTCCTCGAAAATTACCTCGATACATTGTTAATTTTAAGACTTTAGATGGGATACAACTTCCAGTTGGGGTAGAATAAAACCAGAGACTTCCAAGTATTCCATTCCGAGGTCTCTGGTTTTATCCTTCATTTATAACCCCAACCGCAAATTTGTTTTGAAAATTACCTTGATACATCTTAAGACTTTAGATGATACAAATTTCATTTTTTTCACAGGTCACAGGGTTTCAACTTAAAAAATAAAAATTCTCACCGTTAAGATATGTTGGAAATTTTAGCGTGATATGTTGATAATTTGCCAAATTATTATGTAATAAAAGGGACTTTATATGATCACCCGGCGCTGTCACTTTAGTTCAGTCTTCACAACAATTCTTTTTCAGCACATGCCCTTTGGGCATGTAGACCTATCATTTTTACCCAGCGCATTCAAATTTGTACATGCCCTACTCAAAATTCTTACATTTACCAGTATTGTGCTACAAAAAAAAAAACATTAGGTATAAAGGTTTTATATTAATTTTTTCAGCATTGTATTTCTCCGTGACTGTACCACGTGTGTTTATTCACCGTGATTGCCATTTTCTAAAGCGTTTTTGTTCATTAATAACTTTTGAGTTGCATGCTGGTCATTTGTTGGCAGATTTAGCTGAACTGAATTTCAGAAATGGGATCATGACTGTAGTGCCACAGTATGTGGCATCGATGAACGTCTCGTAATTTAGCAAGAAACTTCGAGAAAACAAATAGGTTAAACTAAACACTTCAATGATTAGATTGACAATCATTTGACAGGTCGTATCGAGAATGTAGACAGGCAATCCATCTAAGACATTACATATAGCAACGTTTACGGGAATAATGGGGGTAGGACAGAATAAATGGCAAGTAAAGATCGTACAATGAAAGAAGATTCACATATGCCCTCTTCGGACATGTAATTTGACAATTTTTACATGCCCAGCTGCAAATTTAACAGGTCCCTGGCATTGGACTCCCGGGTTATTTGGAAGACTGTTAGTTTAGTTTCATGAGGTCTGACAACATTGTTTCTCAATGTCTGCTCCCTCTACCCCATACACTTATCTTGATAAAATTATATAAATTATATTATTAATTACCCTGGTATATAAATTGTATAAACCGGTCTTGTTATAAATTATATAAACTGGTCTTGTTTATATAATTTTACAATGTCATAAACAGCTGCTTAAGTGCATATAATATTGTATTAAATGGATTTATATATAGGATTAGGGAAAGATCCTCACTTGATTATGCCAGCATATTTTGCTCGTAGGAGTTTATTATCTACCACACATGATCAATGTCACTTTTGGACGTGAATGACTTTTGACACCCTAACTTCAGTTCAAATCAACGTTAACTTTATGTGACGTCTTTCTGAATCTTTTTTGGCATGTAACTTGGGTAAAAACAATTAAAGTACTCTCGATGCATTTGATTTCTCTTAGCCCGTTTAAACATTTCCTAGGTCTATACCAGTTTTTGCAGGGGCGAAACTATATAGAAGTTGGAAAAGAAACCTATCCCCTTTTTGACGTATTTGGTTTTCAAGGGGTGAAAATTTTCAATGTTACACTCAACTACATGCAACATTTATTATATTATACTGAATGTTTTATACAAATACAAATAATAGTGAACCTTGAGCGCATAAATCTGCGCAGTCACTATTTTTTGGAATATCACCCGTCGTCAAGCAATGTTGACTGTTGCGACACTGGAGGGCGTGGCTTCATTATTCAGTGGGTAATAGTGCTTTTTAACAAATGTTTCTTGACGAATCAGATTGATTCATTTAATATACCTGAAAGTACAATATTAATTAATTGTCATCATTTTCCTATATTAGCTTTTTACTGGTAATGGTTTTGAAATGATAGGAACATGCACTGTTCAAAAAGTCTTAAAATGTTGTTTTGGCTCAATTTCTTTGTTAGATTACTGTGTTGAACTAAGGCAGGTCAATTAAAGTAACATGATCCAATAGATTCCATGTACATTTAGTACTGTAAAGTAGACAAATTTATTGTTCTCACAAATATTTCTCAAATATTGATTTAAGTTGGTCTCCTGAAGGATGTATTAATGCAATTGGTCTGCTTAAGGTATAATATAGACATGCATATTTTATTTTGAATTTGTATTATGTCAATCATTAGAAATATATGGATCTTAATTAAAAAACTTTGTTTTTATTAGAATTTAAGATATGTATAATAGGCATATATTCTTCATGTTTTTCCATAATTAAGTCCTTTTTTACAGGGTCTCTGCTAGAATCATGTGGACCCCAGTGTAACACATCTATGGAAAGAGAGAAAATCTCAGCTCAAGGGTCAACATGTCTTTATTCCAAGAAAGGTAAATTGATAATTTTTTTCTGCTAAAATACTCTTTTATAAATTATAATATCAATGCAAAAGAATGAACAAACAACATACCTAACAACATTTTGAAAATGAAAGTGCAATAACAGTTAATAATTATGATCAATTGAATGAATGTTAATAATCCAATCAAAGTCCTTGTTGTATATCATTTTTGCTAGGGCTGTGTATTGAGCAAAAAAAAAGAAGAAGACATTTTTTAATGCGATATGCAATATATTGGATTCTTTAACAATTCTGTCAAAAAAGTCTTATAAATCATTATGCATGAATTTTATAAAAATAATAATTGTTTTGCAACTCATTTTTAATTTTTTGTCTCACTGTCTTTAAAAATTACACTTCAAATTCAAACTTTTCTTGACTGTAAAATCAACATGCTAAGTAAAGTTGTCTATGTATTTTTATGATTTTGTAATAATCATCTAAGATGTGCTACCTCCTTAACGATTATATCATTTTTGATCAGTTTTAATTCAAAACAGTTAAATATAATCTTTGGTGATTGAAATTCCCAACTTTTTCACAGAATTACATAAAAAAACTGCCTGCCCAAAATGTATTGGAATTAAGTTATTTTTTGGATACGATATATTCATTAATCTAGATATGTATCAATATATTTGGTGCAGCCCTAATTATTGCTGGTTCATAAATAACTAAAAAATAAACAAATGCCAAATGTTGGCATGGTTGGCATTGCAACTGTATCTTACACATTCAAATCAGGCCATTCTTACAAGTTTTGAAACATGTTGGATTCTTCACTAGTGCCGCTACTACAGAGAAGACAGCTTGTTTATAAACTGTGTCATTCAAAGTTTCAGTATATATATGAGAAACACAACAAATCTGAATGCTTAGCCATTACACTAAATGATGAATCTACTTTATTGTGTTATTTATTGACATTTGACAATCATGATTTATAAATCATTTTGAAATTTTTAAAAACAAATTAAAGCAATTCCCATCAATTCCTCCCTAGACAAATATATTAATGATAATTTTTACAGCAATACCTTGCTGTAAATTTCAATTCAAGTGATTTGATTTTTGATTTTTTTTTGTTTGTTTGTTTGTACATTTATGGTTAATTTATCCTTAGAAAAAAATTAATAAGAAAGTAATTTTATTAAAATTTTATAACTTAAATAATGTCTAGATTCATGTATTGAATCATAAAATTGTTTTGAGAGATGTATCGTATCATAATGTCTGTGTATTATCCAAACCCAATATACCTACATATCACGATGTATCATTTCAGCATTTATTTGTTAGTGTTGTTTGATTTGTTTTGTATATGCCCTTTCCTGCTCAGAAAGCAGAAAGCAGAAGTTCTTGCTTCATAATTGTCACTCAAGACCTGAAACTGTATTAGAAATCTGTATGACGTGTGAAATTTCATATCTGTTTTGACATAGTTGTTAATTTGTACATGTATAACAAAATGCAATAATACAACACAATTGATTTAATAGCATTAATTTTTGTATCAGCAAAAAAAAAAAAAAATATTTTCCCTACCTACTGACCCAAGTGTTTATAACTCAATCGGCAATGCCAAACCAACAATTTTTTAATTGTGGCCTTATCCACTGATATTTCTTTTGTTCTGATTCTTAGTTTCTTTTGTTCTGATTTTTTGTTCATTGAAAAAAATTGATGCCTTTTCTTTAATTCCTTAATTTTCAAGTTGAAGAGTGCATCCCGACAATCAGTTATGATGTTACAGTGTCCACTGTCCAATCCGACAACTGTGCAATCCAGCACACTGGACTTTCCGACCATTAAAACTTAAATATTTTATTCCCAAAAATTTCTTTATAATATATATAGAATAAAACACTGTATATTCCGACCACTGTACATTCCGAATTCTGGTGCTTTTTGTCGACAAGACTAGATAATTACCTTATGATTTTACCTGGGTAATTCGACATAATTATACATTTGTACCATAATTAGTCGCTAGTTCCATTTGGGCACAAGCTTGGTCTACTTAGTAGTTAATTACATGTATTAGTTTGATGGTGTTTATATAAACAATAAATGAACTGTGTTTGAATTTAAAAATTAGGCAATCAGTACTCTTCGTTGTTATCAATTTTATTCTCGCATTGACAAAATAGCATCCACGCGATAGAAAATAAAAAGGAGTACCTGATATTTAGATTGCCTTTACCTAACAGAATAAATAAGATTTTTTGGTTGAAATTGAAATCAAACATGCAGTCAGAGTCCTTTAAAGTCATGTCTCCCTAAAAAATGAGTACAGCAAACTACTGTATAACATGTAGACAACACACAATTTGAAGACAGCATCTCGTCTAATAGAAAATGTTTCATTTCCGGGTTAATATACACTGAATTAAGTGAGACTGTGCACATAAAAGATTTGCAGGAAGCAAAAAACTTCCACTTTAAGTAGACCCATTAAATTTCAAAATGTTAATGTTGTTTGATAAAAATTAAATCGCAATAACAATGTTTTAGAGGTACGTCCCATTTGTTTGAAAAGTCACGAGAGGGTATTAATAGCACAGTCTATCTTGAGAAGTTAACAATGCAGAAAAAATCGGAGAGAAATGTAGTGTAGAAAAAAAAATAAAACCACTGTTTACAGAAGGTAGACAAAATATTTAATATCTACTGTTAGTAAGTAAAATGCTAAAAATTAAATTGCAACAACTCGAAGTGATTGGCAGTTCCATCTGTTTTGCACGTTTAAAAGAAATTATCATATATTACTACAGAGTTTACTAGTGCTGTAACAAATGATGTGTCTCAAAGAAATGTTAATCAGCCGAAGGTATATTTTATACAACAAAGAAACACACACACACACACACTTTGACAATTAAATACACATGTACTCTAAACCTAACGAAAAATGTTTTTTTTTTCTGTATGAAGTCACCTGACATTTATCATAATGCTCAGAAATATTCAACACTGGGTAATCCGATACACTGTCTAATCTGACATTGATTTTATTCCCCTTCAACATGTTGGATAAGACAGGTTTCACAGTATATCAATGACGTAATGTATGCAATATATAAATAACTGTCCCACCTGCCTGCTAATGTGGAAACAAAACTTCCCTCCATAACAAAAGAGTGCACCAATGGAGATCATTCGGCAAACCTCGGCTGATTCCGTCACCTTCTTCAAACGTTTGATGAGGTACGAATCGGCCGAGGTGTGCCGAGTGCAATGGAGATAATCTCGAAACTTGTGTAGTAAGATCAACTCCTAACAATGCACCACTTTTCAGCATTTATATTCATTGCTTAAGGGTTTATTCTTACTAATGAAATAAGTTGTGATGATGCCTATATTTACTGTAAGACATTTGTAATAATGAAGCATTTGTGAGATGTACCCTTTATCAGTTATTTACAAACAAGGCATTTGAAGAGGATGAGCACAGTGCATTTTTTTTATCTGAAGTTAAGGTGATTTTAAGCAAAAAACATTTCTTGTCCATATTTAGAAAGCAAAATATTTTGACTTAGTTTAAAGTTTTATAAACCCATTAAACTTGTTAAAAAATTAAGTATGTAAACTAAATTTTGAATAAAGAGTTGGTCCTCTGTGTAAAACTTGCTCTGTGAGCAAGTTGGAATTACAATGCCTTTCACGATTCCTTCACAAAAAATGGGGTGACAACCCACAATATTAATAAATGTAGATTAAACATCCTATTTATGTCAGTTATTGTATTAAATGAGCTTTCAACCATTTTATGCTTTATGGTTTTAAATAATATTTTATATTTCATAAATTAGACAGTGAAATTTGCAAAAAAAAAAAAAAAATTATTGATTTTTAAACTGTTGTTACATTTAGGAATGTGGGTATATGTACATATCCTGTTCAAGTCTTTGTGTATCACATTATATCATGATATACTTCAGACAAATTAGTACACCCGTAGTTTTGAATACAATTCATACATTGATTTCATTTGCCGCAATGGTCTCTTTAATATTGCAATAATGCATTTGGTCTTCCTAATGCATGTATGATGCAGGTACTGTATATACTCTATGTCCAACTTATAGGTGAGTCATAAAAAGATTAGTATTTTGAAACCAGGTTAAAACATCAGAGCATTGATTTGAAATTGTCAATTGATTCTGGCAAAAAGTTGTACCGATTTATAAGCGGGTCAATAGCAAATCCCTCCAAAATAACCTCAAAAAATACAACTGATTTATAGGCAGACCACCTTATAGGCGAGTATATACAGTATAGTTTTTGTTGAATTTTGCTAACAGCAAAACACTATGAATAATGAATTTTGGAAAAAAAGATTATTAAGTTTAATGATGCATGTATGTAGTATAGAAATATTGTTCATATGCCTGTACATGGTACAAATATGCATTTTACAGAGTGTACATATGCCAGAATCATATGGACCGCAGACTGGCCCTGGTGATTCCGTTAAGAAAAAAGAGGAAAAATCAGTGCTTGTGCTCATTGGTCATTGGACAAAGGTAAATAGATTTATTTCATGAAACTAAACATGTAAATTACTAGGATATTAAAATATCACAATTAAAATACATGTACTGATTTATATATATATGGATATCAGTTGGTCTCCTTGATGCAGTTATATGCATTTGTTATCCCTTTTAAGTGGATCTTTTAAATATTATGCAGTTTATTTAGAAGCTCTTTATTATCTGCACTGTTCACTTTTACAGGGTGTATGCCAGAATTTTTTGAAGAACAGTCTGAATCTGACATGAAAAAAATGAAGAAAAACAGCCTTCCTGTTTATAAATCTACATTCTGACAAAGGGTAATTTTGTTTAGTTCAATTAGAAGTGCACATTTAATTTCAGTTGCTTTCCTTAATGATATATTATAGCATTTTTATTCCCTTATGAACAATATGTATACTTTAAAGCATGTATCACAAAATCTTCTGCAAACAAAGTTTTGGGTGTATATTGCTTGTTGCTTAACGTCCCTCTTGAGAATTTTTCACTCATATGGAGACGCCACCACTTGCTGGTGGAGAGCTGCAAATTTTTGTCCTATACTCAGCACTTACGGCCATTGAGCATTGAGGGATCTTTATCGAGCCAGCACCTACTGTGACACGGGACCTCAGTTAATACGTCTGTCTCATCTGAAGAACGGGTCTCCACATTCCACAGTGGGATTCAAACTCGCTATGTAAGGATCAGCTTCTTTCTCCGCGACTCTAGAGTAGACGCTCTAACCACTGCATCTGCTCTACTTTGGCAACTTTGGGTGTATATAAGCATGGTTGTATATAAGCATAGGAATCATCATGTCCATCTGTCTGTTCATGTGTTTGGCCACTTGTGTGACTAGCTTTTTTGTTCCAATTCTGGCTGAGATAAATTGATTTAGGTCATCTAAATACAAACAAATTAAGGGAAATTACTATGGTATTGGGATGAACATTTTGGAATACTGTCTCATTGTTCCATTGTAGTTGGTCTCTTTAATGTTGTAATAATGCATCTGGTCTTCCTAATGTATGGCATACACTGTATGCATGTATAATGTTGTTAAAGTTGGATGAATGTAAAACAGTTCTTGCGTGATGACAAAGGTAAATAGATTTAGTTCATGTAACTAAACATGTAAATTACTAGGGTATTAAAATCTCTCGTTTTGAATACTGATTTACTTGTGGAGAGTAGTTGGTCTCCTTAATGCAGTAATAATACATTTGATCTTCCTTATGCATACTGCATATTTATTTTTATATAAATTTAATGGCTGACATGTATGAGGGTTGATCCAAAAGTTTGTTGAATTTCTTCATATTTTATTTATTTATTAGTGAAAGAGGTTGAATACTGATTTAGATGTGGATAGTAGTTGGTCTCCTTAATGCAGTAATAATACATTTGGTCTTCCTTATGCATACTGTATATTATATAAATTTAATGACTGACATGTACGAGGGTTGATCCAAAAGTTCGAGGAATTTCTTCATATTTTTAGGTCACCTGAGTAACTCAGGTGACCTATTGCTATCCGTTTTCGTCCGTCGTCGTGCGACGTACATTAACATTTGAACATTTTTAGCTTCTTCTCTGAAACCGCTCAACCAATTTCAACCAAATTTGGTATATAGCATCTTTGGGTGAAGGGAGAGGGCAAACAAACATTATTTTAAAGATTGCCTTAGCATGTCGTTTATTCTGTGCATTTATGGCAATTAATATTAAAATCGTCCAGACCTGTTAAAACCCATGGATGTCCACAAAAATGTTACTCAAATCAAATTTCATGTTAAAATTCGAAGTAAATATAAATACCTGTGTAATTGTATAATGGTGTAACAAATGTTTAAGAATGCCATATTTAAATTTCAAAAATTGCTCTAAATGTGCATGAGATAAGTATCTAAATGCTGTGAAGAAGCACTGTGCTACAATTACCATATTAAAGAAGTGATTTTAATGAAATCTTGTTTCTAAAAAACCTGTAGAAAATTTAAAGAAAATTAGAAATCACGATTCTTACCCCAAAACCATCAGATGGTATGAAAGCCTTCAAACAATGTGTTTTACATAATTCGCATTTCCAAAAACTGTGATCATTAATTTGCCGACCTATTATTGTATGTTCTAATGAAGGAGAATTCATGTGCAAACTTCTACATGAGAAGAATAAAAGTATTGCCGTGTCCTGCAAGAAAACAAAATCACATTATATTATCAATTGCAGATGGTGTCTACGTCTTTCAACTAATTTTGCAACGGCAAGAGTATCTTCTATGTAGTAACTGTTTTGAACCAAGACATCCTACTGACAACTAAGTCCATGATACAGAGCTTTCTACTGCCTTGTTTAGAATTTTACATGTCGAGAAATTTATGGTCAGTGTAATGACCTTGTTTGCAAATCTAAATCTTCATTACGTCGAGTTTAGACTTGCATGTGAATTTCATGGTCCCTGTCCCCCTGGGGCCTGAGGGGCGGGGCTAAAACCACCAAAAATAATGCAATCTTTAAAAATCTTCTTCTTTACTCCTGGACATCAAGCAGTCAAACTGTTCGCATCATTGTAATAAGCATTGAGCCCTCTACCAAAATTTTGAAATTCATGGCCCCAGGATCAGGGGTTCTGGTGCTAGGATGGGGCAATATAGATCATATAGTGAAAGTGCATTATTTCTTTGAAAATCTTATTCTCTGCTCCTGGGTATTAAATAAAGTAACTAAGTACATAGTTATGAAAAGCAAGACTGCCTCTTCCAAAATTGTGAAATTCATGGCCCCAGGGTCAGGGGTTCTGGTGTTAGGGCGGGGCTCTATTGATTATATAGTGAAAATGCATTAATTCTTTGAAAATCTTCTTCTCTGCTCCTGGGTATTAAATAAAGTAACTAAGTACATAGTTATGATGAGGAAGAGGGCCTCTTCCAAAATTTTGAATTTCATGGCTCCAGGGTCAGGGGTTCTGGTGTTAGGGCGGGGCTCTATTGATTATATAGTGAAAATGCATTAATTCTTTGAAAATCTTCTTCTCTGCTCCTGGGTATTAAATAAAGTAACTAAGTACATAGTTATGATGAGGAAGAGGGCCTCTTCCAAAATTTTGAATTTCATGGCCCCAGGGTCAGGGGTTCTGGTGTTAGGGCGGGGCTATATTGATTATATAGTGAAAATGCATTAATTCTTTGAAAATCTTCTTCTCTGCCCCTGGGTATTATTTAAACAAACTAAGTACATTGTTTTGATATTCAAGATTGCCTCTTCCAAAATTGTGAATTTCATAGCCCCAGGGTCAAGGGTTATGGTGAAAAAGGGGGAGGGGCTCTATTGATTATATAGTGAAAAAGCAAAATTTCTTTGAAAATACTCTTTTCTGCTTCTGGTTAAAAAGCAAAGAAGCTAAGCATATAGTTATGATGAGCATGATTGCTTCTTCCAGAGTAGTGAATTGCATGACCCCTGGGTCAGATGTGCTGGTGTAATGGTGGGGCTCTTGATGATACAGTGAAAATGCATTAATTCTGTTAAATAATCCTGTCTGCTCCTTAGTGTTAATCAGATAAACAAAGTGATTACTTACATGTATGATGAGCAAACTTCTGGTCCCAGGGTGAGAGGCTCTGGTGTTTCTAGGTGTGTGTGGGGGGGGGGGGCTCTATTGATAATATAGTGAATCTGTAGTAAAAAATGCATTATTTCTTTGAAAATCTTCTCTGCACCTGGGCATATCAGAGGCAAAACAAGTAAAAGTTTTCATAAAGATTTTTGAACATCTGGCTTCGGGGCCACCAACGTATAAAATCTCAGCTCAAATCTCAACCTCAAATCTTAGATTTCTGCCTCAGCTGAGATTTTCCTAAAACATCATGCCACCAACATCTCTGAGATTCGATCATCTCACGTAAGCTGAGATTTGAGAAAAATCTTGGACTTATTCTCGTTGTTATATACGACCTTTTTTTCTGAAAATGCATGAATTTGTTGAATCAATGATTGAATTTACCTTTTAGTCAGTTATTTATGCAATATTTTAGTGAATATCACGAAAAAACACATCCCACACTTCATTCGTCTTTTATTTGTTGTTTTGAGTCATTCAACAAAGAGGATTCCATTTCGACATTTGCGACAATTTTCATTGAACCCCCCGTAAAAAATCCCTACAGAAGAATAACACAAAAACATATCTAAACTTTGTAGTCTTGGTTCGTCTGTCGACATAAACACACAAAAACATACACCGAGGCGTCACTTCCACCATTGTGACGTTACATGTAGCAGGTAGGCGGATCAAGACTATATTCCCCAGACTGATTAAAAGAAATCATTTTTCTTTGTTTGTTATATATGTTAGATATATCTGTATAATTCTTAATTCTCCATAGCAAAAAAAAAAAAAAAAATATGAGTCATAGGGACTATTTAAATTTAGAATAAACCTGAGTGAATTTTTTTTCTAGCAGATCCACAAAAAAAAAATGCTCAGTAGGCCTATATCATGTAAATTTCTCACATGCTGTAATAAATTTCGCGAGTATACCATAATTGTGGAAAAACAGCAAACATATCCAGGAGCAGGTAACATACGCATGCTTAGTTTTACAGGATTTAATTTATCAAGGAAATTTCTCGAGGAACTGTTTAATTGTCGGTGAATTTCAGCTCATATCCCCCCAGAAGGAAGAAAAACCGGCTGAAATTTGAACTAAGGGCATGTATAGGGAAGCGGCAAACTAACACATCGCATTTTTCTACGATCCCCTGTGACAAAATGTCTCGGAGAGTCTTCTTTTTTTTTTTTTAGATAAATAATAAACAACGAATATAGCACCACTTGACAAATAATCATCGTTACATTGAAAACCCAAATCAATCTCGCATACGCTCATTGAGTAATGAGAAACTGATTAATTTCTAATTGTATCATAAATAAAAGTTTCACTGCGTAATGATGTAATTTTTAAAAAAAAAAAAAGAACCTACGGATCATACTTTTTTGCTTCAAAATGTAAGTTGTCGTACTAAAAAATACTGTTTGTTAAAAAAGAATCTATTCTTGCAAGTACTATAGCTAGCAAGTACATTTGAATAGATGCAGTCCTTCTTGTGATTTATACATGTATTTCAGAATGGTCATAAGTCAAGTTTATTCTTATAAATAATATAAATGGTCAAGGATTTAAGTACGCACAATACATTGTGAGTATAAAGTCGATCCAAATTCTCAATCAAGAATTTTATAGATTTAATTAAGAACCAAATTAGACAGACTGCTATCATCTGTAATAAATAAATGGCGATTTACATATTTTTTCG